GGATCGAGCAAACAATGCTAAAAACTGGTCGAAATTAGACATATTTTTGGCTCGGTATTGGAAGAACTTGGCGCAAGCAAACAGAGTCCAGCGCCACCTTTTGGATTTAGCGCCTGGCGACAGCTTAACGCCAAAATGTTGGCACTAGTCTTTGTTCGATGACGCTAGTTCCTACATGTCTCATCAGCTTTATGTGCTCGATAAAATTTTCCAGTTTTGCGCAGCATAATTTCGATCCTAGTTGTGAAAGATATTCCTCAAATTTCCTACGTGTAAAAATCCTATGTTTTAACTCATTACGGATGGTCTTTCCAATGAGATCTTTTTTATGCATATGACAATAATGTTAATCAAAATTACGCACATGAAATACTTAGAACTTTTCGAGTCTCATCCACTCATTCTAAATCATTGCCGAAATAAATTCAGGAATTAAAATAGAAATCTTCCCCAGTGGAGTCGCCAAAAATTGTAGGGAATATTTCAAGTATTACCCATAGCTTGAACCCCACTGTGATTATACACTAAAGTACGGTGGCATCCAAAGGGAAAGAAGATAGAGCAAAAGAGTCGCCAACAAGTTTTAGGAACATGTAAACCGTTCACGAGGTGAAGGTTACACCCCTTAACGATCCAAACGATCGTTAACTCAAATAGGTCTGGAACCATGACTGGTAGTTCGGGGATGAAGGTACAAATCCAACCTAAAAGAGATTAAACCTGCCATAATAATAGACCTCTACTTTATTCTGATCGTATTCATGTGCGCTTTCTGACTAACATACAATCAATAAGATTAACCCTAAACCTGTTTATCTATGTTGGTAGAATATTAATGCACAAATAAATCTATTATTGGCGATCACTTGAATTATAATCATATTAACCCTAAACAAGATTATTAATTATCTTATTAAGCGTGATTACAAGTACGAATTCCCTTTAAAAATGCATAAAAGGCGTGATCAAGCAATAAAAATATATATCAAGCAACCTAATAATAATCATAATTAATAATTATAATAACAAATTATAATTAAAATAATCATGTTAAAGCATAATAACAGCAAGATACTAGGCATGATACTAACAAGATTAATAACAAACCCTAGCATGTAACTAAACAATAAAAATCAAAGCTTTAGCCCTAACATGATACTAACATGGATATTAGAAAGAAAATAAGAAGCATCGCAGGAATCATTATTGTCATATTTGATATTAAAGTTACCCTAGACATGATACTAGGAAGATCAAAATGCCCTAACATAACATTAGGAATCATAATAACAACCTAAGCATGAACTCTACATAATAACAATAAAAACCATTAAAGCACATACTTGGATGCCTCGTACCTCTTTCTAATAACAAAATACACATGTTAGTAAATTCAAGGAAAATAATAAAGTAAAACAATCAAATTAAATAATTGAAAGAGAGATTTGGGACCAAACCCTCAGAAAAAAAACCTTTCACGTCTAGGGCGAAGGCAACTTCGAATTTGGCTAGGTGTATCTAGTGCTTGCGAATGCGGAATTTTGTAAGAAAAGGCAGGTTTAGAGAAGAGAGAGAGAGAAGCTTTATCTTAGAAAGAAAATAGATGATTGTAGATTGGAGGTTGTAGATTGTAGATGAATGAAAACGGAGTTTTTAGAAGGCTATTTATAGAGAAAATCTGCCAAAAAGATAAAAAAAACAAATCAGAGTTCTGACGCAAATAGAACTTGATTAGCACCAACGCTGGCAATTAGCGCCAGGCGCTAATGTCTGGCGTTAGGCGCTAATTCCCCTTTTGACGCGTTTTCTAAAATCATATAGAATTTAATCGTACAGGAGGATAAAATTGTATTTTCCTCAAAACATTCTTTTATTTTGGTTAAAACTCTCAAAAGTCAACAAAAGTCAATTTATCAATGCTAATTGAATTAGGAATGAAAAGAATCTTCTAGAAGAATCTAGAAGACAAAAACCATTCCTAATTGCATTAGGAATGATAAATCTATATTAGGCCCTCCCCTAGATCATTAGGCCGTATATAAGGCTCAAACCGGGCCCGGTTTAGTAATTTGGCCATAACTTCCTCAATATTCATCGGAATTGGGCTTATAATATATCGTTGGAAAGTTATTTTCAAACCCTATCCAACTACACTACTATTGGACCCATATAATGGACCAACCAAACTGGATTAGATGTTTTTATAAAATAGGTTTTCAAAAATAGAGAGAAGAGAAAAGAAATTAAAACTATCCGCAACACTAGACTTTCCACACTTTCACTTCATTCGATTACAATTCGACGTGAAAGGTACTCATCACCGGGTTTGGTTTTGGGGAAAAAAAATGGGTGTATACACGTCCGCACCTTCTTCAAAAATCCTAGGTGGCAAGATCCGGACGCCTAATTTCTGGACCTTATCAGTCTAGGAGAAATTCCACGCAGACAAGACATGACTTTTGGTCTAAAAAGAGTTCGCCCTTTCAATTGGCGGACATGATCTGTCCGCCCCCACATACAAGATCAAATCACCGCATACTCGGATGCATTAAGACGAGTAGAGGATCAGAGGAGGTGGCATGTAAGTGTACGAGCCACCCCCTCTGAGGGGAAAATATTTAGGGTAAAAATAACCCCAAAAAACATGGTCCAATACCATAGTGACACGTGGCCCAGTCAAAGGGCGACGCGTGTCCCTATGGGAAGATGACGCGTGTTAGATGTCCCAAAGAGCACCTGAAATCAGCAAGAGAAAGGGTCTTTATTACATCAAGGCCCAAATCCCAAGGAAATTCATTGAAAGCCGCAAAGCGGCGCCCCCATGCGACACGTGGCACTCTCTGATTGGGCAGCCAATCATGTCACAGAATATTAGGGTACAAACCCTAAAGGGGCACACACTCCCTTCCCTATAAATACCCCAATCATTTATGATGGGAGGGGTGGATAGTGACATAACCTAAAAAAGAGCATTAAGAGCTCCAACTTCTCTCTACTTTCTCTCTCTAAACTTTTCGTTTCCCAATCTCTAACTTGATCGTCGGAGGCGAATATTCCGGTAAAGGAATATTCGTTCATTTTGCAGGTGTCCGTGTCTCGTTTCCTGAAGAGCGCGACCAGTATCCGAGGAGATCACAAAAAACCCCGAAACACCAAGTTATATATATATATATATATATACATATATATATATATATATATATATATATATATATTTACACACACACACACACACACACACACACACACACACACACACACACACACACACCAAGTTATAATGATAACCAAGGCTATAATAAGAACTAGGAACTAATCTAGGCCCTTAGATCATGTTAATCGGACGGTCAACATGATTTCCATGTCATTAATGGCATTTTCGTAATATTTCAACATTACGAAGTGATTTCCAGTTGCATTTCTAAATATTAAATGAAAAGCTAGTAAAAGTAAATGAAATCAGTCATAAAGTAAATGAAATTGCCTTAAAAGTTAAAAAAATTGGGAAAAAGTTTAAAAATTCGCGAAATTACAAAAATGCCATTAATGAATGCGGGTGAGATGTGAGCCATCGGATATAGCGTGATTAAAGGCTAAGATTCTATTATACACATTGGTTCTCACGTGATCTCAATTCTTTAAGGTAAGCCAAACCTAACAAAAAATCTTCAAGAAAATGAGTATTAACACTGGTTTTTATTAACTATTAAATTGTTTTATTATGATAACTATTAATTCATGTCGTACAACTGGTGTTATCATATTAATTTTCAAAAACATCTATTTTAATTTTATTAAAAAAGAAAACTTTATCCAGTTTTGTGATAATGGTAGCTTTAAAGTATGATATCCTTGATTTTTTTTTTTTAAATACCAATAATTACCTAGTACTCTATAGACTGAGTTGTTTTTTTTAAAAGACCTAGCACAGTGAGTTTGTGTAAGAAAAAGGTTGATAAAAAAAAGGGGCGCGAGTTTGAAAATTTTATCAACAATTATTTTCTTTTACCCCTTTTTTCAAAGTTATCAATATCTATACTTATGTACTAAAGTAATCCCCGTTGTTAGCCCTAAAGTACACGTGTGGCATCATCTCATATAAAAATTTCCCGCCAAAAAAACTTGTTACTTTTTTTTTGAATGAAGTTTGTTACTATATTTCGGAGAGAAGTTTTAGCTTTATACTTAGGGATTGATACCTAAAACATATAGCGCTAAAGAAAAAGAAATATTACGTAATAATATAAAATACTACTTAGAATATTATCAAAAAGTATTATTGATCTTATGGTATATCATAATGTTTATTGTACTTTATTTCTTTTGTATATTTTTTTAACTTCTTATGATTTTGTTTTTGTTAGATTTCGGGAAAACTCCTTATATTTGAGTGTGTACCACTGAATAATATATATAGTGTTACAATACTAGTCCTAATTCTGTTAGGAAACCTAGTACGATAAGAATACAAACTATATCACAAATATATACAAATATATCCTAGATCTGCGACAAATATTATAATAATCCTATAATATATATCCCCACCCGCAATCGTAGCGGGAGGAGGGCGTACGCTAAGACTAGACCTAAATTCTAGAAATAAATCTCGTGGTAGGCCTTCAGTGAAAATGTTTGCAAACTAATATCTAGAAGGAACATGCAAAACCCGAACTTGTCCCAAAGCAACCTTTTCTCAAACAAAACGTATATCCATCACCACATGTTTGGTGCATTGGTGTTGTACCGGGTTGCCAAAGAGGTAGATTGCTCTGACATTATCACAACAAACAATAGTAGCCTGCCGTAGAGGACAATGTAACTCAAGTAAAATATTACGAAGCCAACATGTCTCCGAGACAACATTTGCGACGCCTCCATACTCTGCTTCTGAAATAAATTAGACAAGGTATGCTAACGCTTAGATGACCAGGACACAAGGTTGTCCCCAAGGAGACAACAATAGCCCGGTGTGGAACGTCGAGTATCGGACAACCTCCCTAGTCAGCGTCATTGTAAGTAATAAGTCGATGAGAAACAATCGGATATAAATATAAGCCGTGATCAATGGTGCCTTGAACATAATGAATAATGCGTTTCAATGCCTCATAGTAAGGTTCCCGGGGATCATGCGTAAAAAGACACACCTGCTGTACCGCATAAGCAATATCTGACCTAGTGAAAGTGAGATACAGAAGAGCACCTGCTAAACTGTGATACAAAGTAGGATCCCAAAACGGTGGTCCTGCATCTGCACTAAGCTTCGACTTAGTGTCAACTGGAGTAGCTGCAGGTTTACATGAGCCCATACCTGCACTCTCGAAAATCTACTGTGCATACTTTACTGTGAAAGTAGCAAATAAGAGGGAGTGCAAGTCACCGCAATCCCTAAAAAATAACTCAGAGGACCCAAATCAGTCATAGGAAATTAAGTTTGTAACTGAGATATGATCCCTGCACGCAACCTGTCAGATGAGGTAGCTAATATAATATCATCAACATATAGAAGAAAATATGCCATATCATCACCCTGCCGGAAAGTAAAGAGAGAGGTGTCACTCTTAGCAACGACAAAACCCAACTTGATGAGAAAATTTGCAAAGCTCTGGAAGCTTGCTTCAAACCATAGAGAGCCTTGCGAAGTCGACAGACATGAGAGGGCGCTCTCTGATCTAGAAAACCCGGAGGTTGATGCATATAAACAGTTTCCTATAAGTCACCATATAAAAAGACATTTTTGACATCTAATTGATTTATCGACCACTTTTTAGCCAGAGCTAAGCTTAGAAAATTACGAATAGTGGCCCGTTTAACTACCAGACTGAAAGTCTCATCACAATCCACACTAATTTTCTTGCGACCTGCCATTGCATACAAGACGAGCTTTGTGCCTTTCAAGGTCACCATTAGACTTGTATTTATGCTTAAAGAGTCACATACAATTAACAATATTCACCCCTGCAGGCCTAGGTACCAATTCTCATGTCCCTGTTTTAATTAAAGCACTATATTCATCATTCATCGCCGCATTCCAATTATGGTCGTGTAAAGCTTGTTTATAGGACTTTGGAAGGGGTGATTTATGAAGATGGGAACCCGAAGGTTGAACGGTGAGGTTACAATATATTGGGTTGGGCTTAAAAATTCCCCGTTGACTACGGGTGACTCGGGGAGAGGGGGGTGGTGGCCGAGTGGGTTGTATGGGCGGTACACCACGCAAGGGTGGCGGGGTATAATCTGGAGTAGGGGAAACTGGGCTGCTGGTCGCATGTGGGCTGTACAGTAGTGTTTACGGGCTTGTCGCGGCAGAAGATGGGCTTCCGTAGCCAAGTTGCATTGTGGACTGATGTGATGGGGGATGTGTATTCGGCAGTGGGCTGACTGAGGTTGGAGTTGGGCCTCGATTGTGAGGTGATGTTTGTGAGCCACAGTTTGGAGATGAAGGAGAGGGTGGGTCGTGGTTTTTGGCTGTGGTTTGTGAGCCACGGTGATGAGGTGGAGAGGGATTTGGGCCTGCTTATTGTGGGCTATGTAAATGGGGATGCAACAAATCAGGTGATGGAGAATCATCCACCAAAAAATCATAGTCATTGCTATGGAATTGAGCTAAATTCCGAAAGGGGAAGATGGTTTCATCAAAATTAACATGGCGCGAGATGATGATTTTATTTGTGGTGAGATCATGACACCTATACTCTCTATGTTCAATAGGATAACCTAAGAACACACATGGTGTTGATCGAGGAGCTAATTTATGTGGAGCCGTGGCAGACAAATTAGGAAAACAAAGACAACCAAAGACACGGATGTGATCATACGAAGGAGTTTTTCCAAACAAGGCAAGAGCAGGATTATTGTTTTTAAGAGTTTTGGTTGGCAAAATATTTAGAAGATAAGTGGTCGTTTCAAGAGCATAAAACCAATACGAGGGGGAGAGATGCATGAAAGAGAATTGTACGCTTAATATTATTAAGCGTGCGAATCATACGTTCAGCTTTGCCATTTTGGGAAGAAGCGTGTGGATAAGTGTTAGTTTAGATGATTAATACAAGAGGGGGGGTGAATTGTATTGAGTTCCTATTGACTACTTTATAGGAACTTGCAAGAAAACATAGATTTTACGAGGAAACCTTCCAGGGCCCAACTAGAAGTAAAACCTCGACCCTACCTTAGGGATTTCAAACACACAAACTTCACTATAATAGGGCAAACACCAAGTTACAACCTATTAGACACGGACCTTTATTTCACAAGTTCCTCACTGGACTTCCTACTTGATAGGACCCTATCCTACCCAATCTAAGCACCACACTTAGATTCACTCGTACCACCAAAGTACTACACGTACTGCCAAAGTACAAAATACTTGTACCACCTAAGTACAAAACACACAGCTTCACCTAGAAGCTTACACAAACTGTATGTAAAGCAAACTATAAACTCACCCTAATAACCCGACCAATACAAATGTATAACTCCTAGTATGATAGGTAAGCAATGCACGAAATCCGAAACTAATATGAAAAGTTAGAAGCTTGGTAAACTTACTCAATTATAGCACTGTGATTTCTCCACGCATAAACTCACAAAAACCTAAAACCATTTTGCTCTCTACTATTTATACAAGTATTACTCGTATAGAAAGTAGGTTTTCTAAAAGATAAATTAGTTAACTTAACTTATCCTTAAACACGATTTTATGTAAATCAAGTGGAATAAAATCTTTTCCGGAAAATAAGATTAAAAAGAAATTTGTTAAAAAGATTTATCTTTTTAACAAACTGATTTAAAGAAAATTTTTTAGAAAATCTTTTCCTAAAATCTATCTTTTATAATTTTCCATATTATTTTATTTACCAAGCAAACTTGTCACACTTCTAATAAATTTCGTGCATTAACCTAGTTAACATATTAATAATAATTTATAAGATAAAAACCTTAACTAAATATTATTGCTGCGCCGAACTTTTGATCAGGTAGGTTACTTGGGCTCCAAGCTTATTAAGTTCCACCAAAGAACTTAAGCTTGTTGTCTTCAAGGTTCCTATTAGGGAACGTTTCCGGTTTGGGAACTTAGTTCTTGATAGAGAACTCTTCTTCTAATTTGTTTAACTCTTCAATAAAGATCTCTTCATGTCTTCTTAGTTCCAGTTACTTCTTCCATCACCAAGATCAACTTCACCCAAACTAATCACACACTTGAAAACCTTTATTAGTTGAGTTTGCTTTAGTTTAAGTTCCTCATCATCAAAACCTTTATGCTTCAAAAATTTCCCCCTTTTTGATGATGACAAACTTAAGCAAACTCTAGAAACAAGTTAAACAAAATAGAAGGTCGTATTTTTGTGTTTTTGGTTTATTGACAGAAAGTAAACACACACTAAAATAAAATAAAAACAAAAATAAACAAAGCAAACAAAACAGAAATAAACTAAACTACTACAGCATCATATCAGAGAAATTTCTGATACTTTCTCAACTGGAACCCAGAACAAATTTAGCCTCCAAGTTTGCTTCTTCTTTTCCCCCTTTTGGTATTATAAAAAAAGTCCTGTTTTTCAAGTTATTGAGCATCTAGCCACAGCCCCACAAGCAATTCATCGAGTGTGGGAAACTGAAGGCAGTGCTGCTAACTTCCCTTAAATTAGTTCCACTTTCCTGCTGAACCAAAAATATTAGTTGTTACAAAAGGCATTCATTAAAAACCAAAAATAAACATCCTGCTGAACAAAATTTTTACAAACTAAAATAAATTGTTCAAGCATTTAAAAACTTAAATTGAAATTGTTCATGACTGAAATAAAGAAAGGCTAACAAAAGGCTAAGATAGGCTAGGCTAAGATTGTAGGTTAATCAGGTCTGAAGGAGCTCTAGAACTCTCTTGTTGTCCTCCTTGGCTTGTTGTGCAGAAGCTTCCAACTTCTCTTTCATACGGTTGATAACCATCTGGAACTCTTCCTCCAAAGACCTGAGATTATTCTCAAATTTCTACACAATTTTCTCCAACTGCATGCTGCATTTTTCCAGTTACAGCTTTGATCTCTCCCAAGGCTCCCTTGAGCTGCTTCTCAGCAACTTCAACCCGATCAGTCAACTCTGCAACTTGCCTAGCTAGAACCTTATCATCTTCAGCATCAAGTTCCAGAGGCTCATTCATACTTGTCTTAGGAACAGAACTAGCAGACAATCTCCTGTTTTTCCTCACAGGCTGCTCTGGAACTTCTTTCCCTTTTCTTTTTCCTCTTGTACTCTTTTTCTCTTCTACTTTCCTCACCTTCCCATTCACTACCTCTAGACTGATGCCCTGTAATGTCTCACCATTTATCACATTTTCAGGTTTCTCCTCCAGACCCTCATAGACTCCATTAAATTTTACTCCTAGTGATTTAAAAACGGTAGACATGACAGCTCCATAGCCTACTTTGTTCTTTCCTGGAACACAGTGAGCTAGGTGTTGATACATTAGTGAAGGAAAGTTCACTTTAATTTTCTGAGAAAGGCATAAGATAATAGCCATATCCATCAAACAGGCTTCACCCTTCATTTGAGTTCTAGGCAAGATTGTTTTTCGAACCAAGTTGAACAACAACTTGTTCAATGGGCTTAGATCATTGTGGCTCATAATATTCTTCCCCCTTTTTCCTCCTAGGGATTAAACAATATCACCCCCTAAATAATTCCCTACTTTCACAGTTCCCTTTCCCTTTAAATACATCTCGTACCCAGCATTTGGTACTTTTAAAATTTTGCTCAATTTTGCAACATTAAACTCAATTTTCTTTTTGTTAACCAAACTAGAAATTTTTCCTTGTTTTACTTGAAATTTAGAACAGAATTCCGTCATTGCAGCAGGATACATGACATTATTTGAAGCAGTTGTTAACAAATACTCCCACCCTTGAAATTTAATCAAATCAAGAAATTCTAAAAACCTAGTCTTCTTGCACCAAGCTAAATCGAGTATGTGACCAACAACATACCTTTTAGCATCAGCGCTGAATTCCGATTGTTCTCCATCATCATCTTCCTCAACCTCCTCTCTACCCTCTGATTCATTTTGTTCGTCTCCAACCTCTTCTACTTCTTCGTCTTCTTCATCGCCTGACTTAACTCCTCTGGCACACTCATCAACCTCTAGCATCTTCTCTTCGAAGGTCTTTCCTCTTAATCTCTTTTCCTTCCAATATTTAATTCTCTCGAAAATAGAGGCTTCCACTTGTTCATTCTTGCTTTCAGCTTCATCATCGAGTTTAGGGTTTGGTATTGAGGGTTTAGGATCAGACATCGAAGGTTTAGGATTTTCAGATTC